GTCCCCTGAGCTACTCCTGCTGTCCAGCACAGGCCTGTCTGCATGGTAAGGGAACACTGGAACAGACTGTCAGGGGTTTCCAGAGCCTGCTTCCCTTTAAATACACTTCACTTAGCAGCTATTATTTCAGCAAGATACTAATTCTAACCTCTGCTCCCCATTCACCTGTTCTGTGCATAGAAATGGGTTTGCTGACTTGTGTGCCCGACCATGGCAAATATGAGCCATGGGGAAAATAAAATACACAAGGGGCCAGCTCTGCTCTCTGTGCCCAGCCTGCTGTTGCACTGGAAATGTTGGTGACCTGGGATAGGGACACACAGGAGACAGCTGGTGTGTAACTGCTCACAGCCTGCTGGTCTCTGCCAGATGCTTTTCAGTCCTGTCATTTCTGAAGACCTGGAGGCTTTCTTGAGGCTCTGAAAGTGTTTTATCTGTTCTGAATAAAGTACTCTTATCACTCCCCAATGGCAGACTGTTGACCCTAAACATTTCATGATGTTTTCACCCAAGGAAATTGAATGCAACAGATGGGAAATTAGGCAGAAGGGTCAGAGCATTTTTCTGCTGTGCACCTACAGACAGCACTCCAGATAACTGAGGTGCTTTCTCATAAGAAGTCAGACCTGTCAGGGTGGCTCTGGTGGTTCTGATAACACCCGACTTTGGGCAGCGCAGGTGCTGGTTGCAAATTGCCTGTTGCTATTGCAAACTGCAGAATAAATGAGGTGGAAACGACCTCTCCAGTCTCTAATCCAACCTCCAGCACCAAGCAGGGCCCTCTAGATCAGGTAGCTTAGGATTGTGAGCAGCAGAATTGTGGACATCTTGAAGAATGTTGTTCCTAAAACCTCTTCATGTTCCTGTTCTGGAGTTCCTCATGGGAAAGAAACTTTTGCTGGTATTTAACAAAATTTTTGTATGTATACAAGATCCCTATTCTAGCCCATTATTACTTTTATGTGGGGTATTTGCCTTACTGGTGCATGGAAGAGTCTAAAGGTAATGTTTGTCAGAAAACAACCAATGTTTTTTTCCCTCCTCATGAGCCCAAACAGTTTTCAGAGTTAAAAACCTTCTTTTCCTTTTCTGATGACTTTTTAAAAGGATACCCTTCTTTCTCTGTGTAGGAGTGGAAGAAGTCCCCAAAATATGCAGGTTTTTCCTCTTTTTGGACTCAGTCACATAGCAACAGGTGGTGCTAGGAGTTTACTTATGCCCAGAGTTTAGGAAGTCTTTACTTTAGCTGATCCATGGAGATAATTTGCTTATTGCCTTGTCCTATTTGATTCTGACATGAATATTATCTAGTTCTCAATAGACAGTCCAATTTTAAACTTTGGTTATGGTTGCAGATCCCTAAATTCTCCTGGAGAAACTGGCTGATCATGGCATGGATGGATGCACTGTTTGCCATGTAAAAAACTGTGTGGCACAACCCAGAGAGTGTTGGTGAATGGAGTTACATCCAGCTGCTGGATGGCCACTTGTGGGGTTCCTCAGGGATTGGTGTTGGGGCCAGTCCTGTTTAATGTCTTTATTAATGATCTGGCCAAGGGGATTGAGTGCACCCTCTGGGCAAAGGGCAAGCTGATAGTCAGAGAAAGCACCAGGGACACAATTTGCATTTGGTTGATTGTCAGGATTTACATTTGGTAACACAACTTAGTGGGACTTAGCATGTTAGGTATACAGTTGATGATCTTAAAGGACTTTTCCAACCTACATGATTCTATGATTCTTAGCAGATAAACTTAATCATTGCTGTGACCCCCGTTCACAACCTCACATTTCACATCAGCTCTGTGCACTCAGCTGTATTTATGTTCCCTACCAGAGGCCTAGTGAAGGCAGAAACACGGATACAACAGCCCCAAAGCCTCCTACAGAAGCCACTCCTCTTTGACACCTTCAAATGAAGAGAGAGGGTTCATTTCAAGTCTCCATTTACAGACATCTGCACATTTCTGGATACCCAAAATATTTGAAGGGGACTGGCAGATAAGAATGGACTTCCAGAAAACCCAGGCCCTTCCAGTGCAGCAGTTTGGGGCTTACTACAATATCCCACAAAATCTGTAGTGACACCCGATATTACTTGACAAGCTAAAGATCTCAGTCCCAGCCCTATTCTCTGCTCCAGAGTGTTTCACAATAGGATTTTTCACTGGGGAAGCTGGAATAGACTATCTTATGTAAGAACAGTTTTAAGTCAGCTCCTAATGTCAGGAAGAAATATTCAGAACTGCTTAAAAGGTAAAATTATTTAACACATGTACCAGATTCTTGCATAATTTCTCACCAGTTGACTGAAGAAGCACTTAAAAGAGGTTATTTTTTCCTCAATGTAAAGATGAGGCACTTTTACAGAGAAAAGTTAGTGGTTTTCTCTGAAGTTATCTAGCTAAGAATTCCCCAGAAACCTATGCTGCTTCTATAGATGTTTAGATGTCTTTCATTTAGAAAATGAAGCAGTTGCTACGTGACCAGCTCAAAAATCACAAAGCTAAGATAGAAGCCAGTGCAGTCCTACACATGGCAATGAATGCCACAGCTTCATCTGTGAGTCATCTGCCCACAGAATAACGTTTCTACCAAATTGTGTGCCATGGAGTCTCCTCCAAAAAACCACTTGGATTCAATGATCAGGAAAAAGCAAGTTAGCTTTGCCAAGTAAATGAGACTGACCGAGTATCACTGACACTAATAACAATACAGTTGAAAACAAACAGCTCCTAACAGAACGTTTATGCATTCAAACGATAATGATGAATAAAAAGCCTTTCCTACACCCCCTACTGACAACACAAAAGGAGCTTTAAAAGAAAACAAATGCTGCCGCCTAGAGAGCGAGCTGGAAATCCACAGATCCAAGCTCTTGTACGGACTGTCTCCCACAGGATTTAGTCATGACTTTCCCTTCTGCTCTTGCTCGTGGTCCTGTGTCACCCAGGAGAGACTTCTCTTTTCCTCTAGTTACCAGTGTTACTGAGCAGTACACCTCTGGAGGAGAAAGCCTGCATTCCCTTCAAAGGCTGCCTGAGCACTTCCAAACTACCCCCAGCTAAGCTGGGAGCTGGAGCCCAGCTATCCCAGAAAACACACACACTGTGCCTGCTGCGTGACAGTATGTGGAGTTCAGGGAACTTTTAAAAACATTTTTCCTGGGCAAATTTAAAAACAATTAAAATTCCACAGGAGGGAGAGTTGAGAATTTTATCAGTTAAAAAAAAATGCTGTTCTTGCAGCTCAACCACGGAAAAAAAGCCATTCATCTGCACGTTTCATTAGCAAAAGGCAGTAAGCCATCTTCTGACCTTCCTTTCATATGGATGGCTGCACATTCTCCTCCCAGTGAGATCAGGGCTGTGCTGCTCCTGTGAAGCTAGAAAATATCATAAAATCCTAATCAATCAAAAGACTCTTCAACCACCTGAACTCAGACAGAAAAGAGATCCTTTCTTGATTCACAATTCATGACCATGCCGTTCAGCTGGCATAAGTCCTTGTTAGCCTCACACATGTGTCATAAGCCAACAGGAATGCTTGCCATAAGGTTGTTGATGTCTAAAGATTACAGTAACATCATTCTATAACACTGTATAATGAATTATGCCATGAATCTGCCACTATTATGTTAATATCATTCTAAGTTATGCTGTGAAGCTGTGCCAGGAGAGGTTTGGGGTGGATGTTAGGAAAAGGGGAGTTAGGCACTGAAACAGGTTCCCCGGGAAGCACCAAGACTGTCTGAGTTCAAGAAGTGTTTGGATGATGCTCTCAAAATGGTCCTAAATGTAATGTACAGTTTTAACTTAAAAAAAATTACACCCATCATACTGAAATTCACCATCTTTTTGAGCTATAAACCTTCATAAACACACAACTGGGATACACTACTGTTATTGGTTGTTTTTTTGTTTTTTTTTTGCTTCCAGCCCTCCAGTGATTAATCTTTGCTCAAAGAAAATGAAAGCAGGCATGTGCTGGAAGGTAAGGATAGTTTTGACCCTTTAAAGGAACTGTAAGGCAAAAACATTATTGTTTTTCAAACCCGAAGTCACTGACCTGAGAATGTTCCTCAGGCATGAAATGTGCTGTACATCTCTGCCTGCACTGCTGCTGCCCAGCAAAGCCTGACAAAGCCATGGTCTGGGGCCAGGGGGAGAGCAGGTGCTGCTTGGCTGAGATCAAAGGTAAAAGCCACCTGTGTATTACCAAGCACTGTAGGACAACCCCAACACAGTTAATTTCAATCAGCATGCAAAAAACTGTTGTTGGGTGGAACAGAAAGAACAAATCTAAGATATGTGCCCATATCCATGACAGGTACAAGGAAAGGACCAAACCCCAGTTCTTGCACACCCTCCCTTGTGGGAAGGCCCACCAGAGCCACTCTGGAGTGCACCCCTTCACAGAGTCTTGAGCTTTCCAATTTTGCTTTGATGTTTGCCACAGGAAGTGGCTCTTGGGTGCCAGCCAGGCCGGTGACCTCACGGTCCCGGGGAGCAGCACCCAGAGGGATGGGGACCTGGAGGGCAGTGCATGCCCCCTGCCCCTGCCTCCAGCATTCCAAAACAGCTCTCACCTGCAGCAAGAGCAGAGGGTGCCCAGGTCACTGCCCCCACCAGCGGGACCTGCAGGTAGGGAGCCAGGGGCAGAGGCTTGGCACGTGTCAGGTTGCCACCACAAGAAACCCCTCCAGTGGCTCTCCAGGGGTTGCTGGCACCTGTGGGCTCAGAATATCCCAGAACCAAAGACCACTGCCTCTGACAGAGATGCTGGGGTCTCCCTGATCCCAGGAGGGACTGTGGGCTTTGTACCCACTCACTTCCTTCCTTGGTGCACTCAATCCCTTCTCTGGACAACTGATCTTCTGCTATAGAGTGAGGACATCCCCTTCTTACGATCCATCTTTAGCAAGAAAATACATCAGAGTTCAGGTTATAACTGTACTATGGGTATGTTTACAACCACTGGTTTTAATACAGTAAACAAACTTTAAATATGCAAGTTTGTTTATTAAGACAGGCTACACAGAAGGTATACTTAAGGCATACTTCCATTTGCATTGTCTGTGACCCTCTAATTTTCTTGAAAAGCAGCCATCTGTCATATCAGCAATGTCCCTTTCGGACAATTTCTATATGTGTGTGATCTTCCCTGCAAACAGAAGAAAAATATATTAGAAGAGGAACACTACTTGAATCTTACAGACACATTTTATAAGGTGGACTCTCTCGTTTCTTTCTATGTGTTCAATTAAATGCAGTGCTGCATTAATTGCATCACTTACTGAAAACATCACCACAAAGTAACCAGGATGCAAAAATCTATGAAATCACATACACAGAGAGAGTAACTTACCACAGGCTTTGTTACCTATAAAACCTGATAAAACCATCTGCAAATCTGATACCTGTCACAGTACATGACAAATCACACCATGAGGACTAATGTGTCCATTACAAAGCACTAATAGAAGTTAAACTTTACAGTCTCTGAGGTGCAAACCAGTTCTAATGCTTACAGTATTTCCCCCTTTCACATGGGAATTCAGTGGGAAGGATGTGCATCCTGATGCACCTGGGCACCTGAGGCTTTGCTAAATTTTGAAAGTGTGGTTCTCTGAATGCTGGAATCTTCTTTAAGGAAATTTTAGCCAAGTACCCCTTAGTTTGGAAACACTGGTTTGTTTTTCTTGCAAGTCCTATACATAGTATTTTGGGGTGCTCCATTTACAAATCTCAATTTACCAGGCAAATGCAGACAGAAAAAGAAACTAATAGAATGCAAATTGTCCCAGATGATCAGTTTGTTTCCTTATCTTCATAGAATCAAGCTGGTTTACTCCTCATGAAATTCAAGAGACTTATGTTTACCCAAAATCAGGGTTAATCTGTACTAGTTAGTAATAGTATTAGTTTTATCAGGGATCTTTTAACCACAAGGTAGTGCCAGAAGGCAGATCAGGAATATGAAAGGCAAAATCAAGGCCAGGGGATGTAAAACACTGGTATGGATGTAAGGAGTGGTTCTGGCTGAAGGACACGCTCACACTAAACCCTGCAGAGACACCTCAAGCTGCTGCATCTATTTCCAAAGAGCATGTGTTGCTGTCAGACTAGGTTTAAACTAAGATCAGATGTTGTCACTGCTACTGGACAGTGAGTGTGGAAGAGACCTGGGATTTGCATGTGAGCACCCACTTAAGAATAGATTAAAACTAAGCTTTAAAAGAAAAAAATAAAGTAAGGAGGAAAACTAACTTTGGTCTTACAATTAAGGGGCTTCACTGCAGAGCCAGGATGGGGAGGGTTTGTGCTGCACCTTTGCTCCAGGTGTCTCATGTTATCATGGATCAACTGCAGCAACCTCTTCTGCAGCACTCTATAGATTCACACAGGGCTCTTCAGGTGCCCACACATTCCTTCACTCTATAGATTCACATGGGGCTCTCCAGGTGCCCACACATTCCTTCATGGCTAAAAGAGCTCATCGACAGTACTCTCTTGGCCATCAGGAAGTACAACTCTCTCCAAGAAGTCCCTTCATGGGGTTAAACTATGGGCTAGAACAAACCTGCAAGATGGCGATTGAAAATCACTCCAAGTTAATTGAGAAGTGACTGTTTTGTAATTTAGTACTGGATGTGTCCCTGTATCTGTTTCTATATCACCACATTACACTATTTCAGCAACTAGTCATGCAGCCTGCTAAATAGGGCAGAAAAATCTCTTTGTTCTGTCTTCCTAAGTGTGACAGACTGTACCTTAGATTACTTGGAGTGGAATGATCATTGCTTATGACTATGGGCTGTTTTTCAAAGCTGAAATTCCTCCAATAAAGCAAAATGTTTTATCCGTGTTGTGTTCATGCCAAGTCAAACACTTTAGAACAACAACTCCAGGCTAAACTAGAAGGCCCCCAAATATGCCAAATACTGAACTATAAAAGAAAAATGATCAGGAGAGTATCTGACCACCCTGTTACCTTCAGACCCAAATACATGTTTCTGAGCATGTAAGAAGACAGCAAAAGAAGATGGTTAAGACCATCTTCATTTTAAAATTCTGCCTTGTGTTTATAATTCGATTTAATCCCATGTATCACACAAAACATGTACTTTACATCTTATACTAAAAAGACATAAGCCTTATCACTAATTTCTTGAGGAATTACTTAAGGAGTTGAAATAAGCAGCAAATTTGACTGGAGAACCCTTTGTTCTGTGTGCAAGGCTGTATTCAGGAATCTGCCACGCATTCATCTGGAACTGAGGGATCATGCCTAAAAAAATGAAGAATCCTAGAAATCCTAGAAAGGCTGGATCTCAAAGCCCATCCTTCTGTTCTGAAAGGATTAAATATACTCTTTAGGTTGTGAGATGCTCTCCTGTCTGTATCTCCACAATATGGATTTGCACTCTCTGTGGGCAATACTCAGCACTTCTTTTTGTCTTTTACTGTACTGATTTCACTCCATTTCTCCAGATCTCTGTGAATTTTTATAATATCCTGCACAGATCACCATACCTGTGCCATTTTGCAATTTTCATTATATAAAATATGATAGCTCTTTCAAGTGTAAAATGCTGATCACTGCTTTTGAACCACAGCATTTCAAACCTCTGTGACTTCATCCTTTAACAATTTCAGCTGAATAACTATTTGTCTGCTTATGTGAATGTCAAGTGGAGATAATGTAAACTGCCTTATTAATGTCATGCACCAATACTTCTATATCCTCCTACTCTGTTTGGCCAGATATCGTGCCAAAAAACTAAATCTCATGGATTTGATAGGATTATTTCTGACAAATCTGTATCTGCTTTGCTTACATTCCTCTTTACCTCTGGCTATGTACAAAGCCAATCACTTAATAACTTACTCCAACATCACTCAAGGCAGGAAAGATGGGTAGGCTCCTAATATGTAACATGCCAGAACCTCTTTTCTTCCCCTTTTAATAGATTCTACTGTGTGTGAATTTTGATTAATCTTCTTTTTTTTTTCCTAAACTGTGGGTTTACCAATTCTCTTTGCAATTTGTCACTTGCTTGGGTTGTTTGTGCTGTGCTCTGGTGAAAGTGTTACCAAATTCTGCAGATATTCATTTCAGCACTTTCTTTATACCAATTACCTTAAGTGTCCTTTGATACCTTTGTCACTTTCTTTATTTTGGCCTACGTTTCTTTTATCTTGGTAATTTGAATTTTGTAGATTGTCTGGTCAGAATTTATCTTTCCTCAGCCCCAAAGTCAGAAACTCATTTCAGCCTTCCCTTTCTGGAGATCTATCTGTTCACAGTTTTGTTTCTGTTATTCTGCTACTCTCACTTATACCTTCTGCTAGAAACAGATCTTTTATTTCATTAATATAAATTGCCTTTTACCATCAAAATTTCTATTAACTGCAGCTCCTCTCAGTTTGTACTGAGAGACTGCTCTATAAAGGTTTACAATCATTTGTAATGGAGAGTAATAATGCTCATTAGATACCAATTCTCTGTGTTTTCAATTTGTTTTTTAAAAAATTAAATTGTTAAAGAATAAAATACCCTCTCTCAAATATCAGGCAGTCTTTTTCTTGATTTTTAGACAACCTGAAGGCAAAATAGTGTTTTCTCCTAACATTTGGCATTCTTACTCTTCTTTGTGAAAAGAAGTACAGGAGATTGGATCTTGAACATAAATATTTTATATGTAAAGCTGCATTTTTGAATGGGATCTTTCATGTTTTCTGATTGAAAGTGTGGGTCTGGCATTATATTTATTGGTTGTATGGCATTGTATGAACATGACAAGTACACTCCTCTGAGATGCTCCTTCTCAGGAAATACTAATACAAATATTCAGTAAATCCAGCTTGACCAAATTCAATCAAACCCGTTTACAGGTACCATGATAAAATCTGTTGCACAGGATCCACAGCTGAGAGGACACTGCTGAAACTGCAGTACAACAGTGCAAATGATCCAAAGCCAGTAAATTATCTATCAGTTATCTGGAATGTCAGGGTGAATGTTCTGCTTGCATGTAGGGAAGGGAAGGACAGAACTGACTACCTGTTAGCAAGGCAGAGCACACACTCATTTCCGTAGGTCTCTCCATCAGTGCCACAGACTGGATGGTAGTCCCTTGGACACATGTGGTTCCCATACTGGGCACAGTTGGGCTAGGGAAGACAGGTAGAAAAGAAGCCAAAGTTGCACAATTTGAAACAGGTTTCTGCCCAGCTTCTGAAGAATCCTGGCATGCACAGAAAAAAGGTGTCCATGGGGAGCTGGCACAGCATTTTAAAGTGCCACACTATCTTTCATGCTCTTAGGGGAATTTATCACTTGAGGCTTGGCTCCTACTGTCTGGCACGGCTTAGCTGTGCTGTATGTGCGTCCCACAGCGCAGCCCCTCCTACCGCTGAGCATCCGCAGGACACACGGACAGCGAGTCCCCATGAAGGGCAAGGCAGACCGAGATGGTGAGGGAGAGATGGGCATGAAGGGCAGACCGAGATGGTGAGGGAGAGATGGGCATGAAGGGCAGACCGAGATGGTGAGAGCTGGGCATCGCCAGGGCGAGTGTGCTGCGGAGCCAGCAGCGGCCCGGGCGCCTCAGCTGCGGGGAGAGACCCCTGCTCAGGGCCGGGCTCCGCAGCCAGGCCAGGCTCACACCCCAGCGTGCGGCCCGCGGCTCTGGGGAAGGGGCCGGGGGCAGCGGGAGGCCTGGCTGGAGGCAGGAGGGCAGCGGGGCCGGCGGCACTCACCGGGTAGCTGGCCATGGCTCCGGGACACGACAGGAGACCTGCGGAGAGCGAGCAGCGTTAACGGCGCCGGGTCTGGCACGGATCCCCCCGAGCCCCGCGGGACCGGCCCCGGCTGTTACCGACCGCACGCTGTCCCCTCCCGGCACCCCTGACCACTCTCTGTCCGCTCCGGGGACACCCTGACCAGCCGCGGTCCGACCTCAGCATCCCCCGGTGTAGCCGCTGTCCCGGTCCCGGCCCGGGCCAGCTCCGTCCGTCACCATCCCGTGCCGGTTCCCCGCCGAGCCTCCGGCTGGCTCCGGTGCCCACCCCCGGCTTAGATCCCGCCGCCGCTCCGCTGAGCCGGCCGGGACACGGCACCGCTTCAGGCTCGCCCTTCCCTGGGACGGGACCGGCCGGGACACGGTACCAGCCCGTCTCCCACTTCCCCGGCTCCCCTCCCGAGCGCCAGCGCCCCGGCGCGGTGCGCGGTACCGGCGAGGAGGACGGGCAGCAGCAGCAGGAGCGCCAGCGGCCGCGCCATGTCGCCACCTGAGCGGGGACAGCAGCGGGGATGGCAGCGGGGACGGCAGCGGGGGCGGCTCGGGGCGCAACGGCCGCGGCAGCGCGGGAGCCAACGGGGGGCGCGGGGCGGGACCGGTACCGGTACCGGGCGGGGCGCGGGGCGGCCGCGGGGACGCTCACGGCTGGGATGCCAGGGCAGGGACACGGGGTTGAGCACTGTAGGAGCCTCCCCAGGAACAGGCTCACGGGGATGGAAAACTTTCCCGTCAGAGCTCGGCAGCACAGTTAATGGGGGGCGCCGGCCGGGATTCCAGCGTGCCCCAGGCTTCCCTCCTCGTCCTCAGCTGCTCCTCGGGGTTGTGCTTTGATCGCAGTGTCTTGGGCAGTGCAGGGAGGTTGGAAATACGCACGCAGTGCCGTGCGGCTCTTAAGGTCAGGGCCCCCTTCTCGTCATAAAGTGACAATAAAGTGACATGAAATGGCTTCTGCTGAGCTGTGAGTGCGCCTCTCACAGAAGGAACAGAAAAACTGTCCCGGCAATAAAGCAACCTGCCTGCCTCCAAAGGCGTGAGAATACGGGCGCTGGAAAGCCTTGGCACGCTGTCCTTCCAGCATGGCTGGTGTCTCGGCAGCACTGCTTTCCAAAGAGCATCTCATCTGGCCGTCACTGATAAGAGTGGTTAGTTTTGCAGAGCCCAGAGGTTGGCTTTGCACAGGGTCTGGCTCTGCAAATGTTTTTATGCAGTTTCCCAAAATCTAGGGTATGAACTTCTTGTAAAATGGCCTGTGCTTTCTATGTGTGAACTGGGATTAGACCTGTCAAGTGTTTTCACATGTCCCACACAGGTACATACACAGACATCACATACACCTTTCCTGTCTGTGTGTCAACCTCTGAGTCCTTTCAAGTATGGCTTTTTTCCTTTCTAACAGTGTGCTCTGCCTACATGGTATCATAGGGAGGATATTTTATTATCTGCTTAATATGTTCTTATTCCTCCAGGTAACCTCTGCAATCTGATTGCAGTTTCAGATTTTCATTCTGTGCACATCTTTGTGATTACTGCCCAACACAAGGCATATTTCATGCAAAGGCCCCTGGCTTGGCTGTTTTAAGCAAGATGCCTAATCAGAATGTTTTGTGGCTGGTGAAGCATGCCAAGGGTTATTTCTCTCTGCCTGATCTCCTTCCCTAGCTTTCCCAGCTTTCTGTCCCAGCTTTCCCTGTTAAGCCATTTGAGATGAGGGTGTCTTTCTGTTACCTTGTTATTGGTGGGATGGTTGCTGGATTTGCCATCCTGGAGGGAAGGATGGTAAGGGCTTAAATACTGGAGAGTTGTGCTGGGGTGTGTTTCCTTGTTTCTTGAAGGTGTGATTTTTCAAAGGGAGAGGGGCCAGCTGAAGGTGAAGAAAGAAGAACCATGGGGAACGTGAAGAAAGCAAAGCCAAGGGTAGAAGTTATCTCTTAGGTTGTGAATCTTGTAACTTCCTCTAAACAGTTAAATTCCAAGCTCTTGCTCAGAAAAAAAAAAGCCTGAACAACATGAACCAAGTAAAAGCTCAGTGTTCCACTGTAGGTAGCCCAGACCAGCTTTCTTTCTCCTGAACAACTCCTGCACAACAAGCACTAAGTGGGTGTGTACTGTCATCGTGTCTCCTAAGAGAATAGCTGCCCCCTAAAAAATCTTCTCTACACTGGTGTATTTTCCAACATATTTAATGTTAATTCCATGATCATCAATGTGTGGCACTTGATCCCAAATACATGGCTTGAATGGGACCATTTGGGTAAACATGACTTCACTTGCCTTTCTGTGGCAGTAATGAACTCAGTCACAGCCATGTGTTCTATCCTGGACAAAATAGGGAAAAGTAAAATAAAGGTGCTCTATTGACTCTCAGTGTGACAATCATATTTGAAACTGGTGCCAGTCTCCTCAATTCTGAAAGCATTTTGTTTCACTTTTATTTTTCTACTGAGAGTATTTAATTTTGCCTTATTTAAGGAAAATTTTAGAGACAGGTCTTTAGAGAAGGGAAAATTGTAGAAATGAGATTTTAAACACAAGAAAAGATAACTTACAAAATTTTTCTTCTGGCAAGATTGAGTATTACAAGATACTAGTTTTCTTTCATAAATTATTAAGAACTGGAGGCAAGGAAGAGTATAATTATGCAGAGAGCTTCTTAATAGCTTTTGTATTCTGTTAACACATTTCTGATGCAAATGCTGAGTCATTGGAAAGGAAAATTGCAGAATTATTTGCATATCTCCTAGAAGTTATCTTCTTGTTAAAATCAGGTAGCCGATTAACAAACATGAGAGACAATAATGAACCTAGAATATAGGCTGCAGGGAACAATGCATAATTAGAAGTTACATCCCTACAGAGAAGGTCTGTTTCTGCCTTATGCTCAGTGGAATAACCCTCTGTGCTTGGAAGCTAGAATTTATTTGGACTTCAGTCAAACTCTTCTGGTGCTCCATGGCCTTGCTGCTGTCCAGTGAGTGCTAGCCAGGTCTTTCTGAGAGGTACCTACTGCAAAGATTGGCACTGATCATCACCACCTCCAGGTAGGGTCTTGTGAGAGTGCAGTAGAGCAGGAAAATCACCTCCCTTGACCTGCTGGCCATTTCTCTTTTGATGCAGCCCAGGATATGGTTGGCTTTCTGGGCTGTAAGTGCACACTGACAAGACATGTCCAACTTTTTAACCACCAGCACCCCAAGTCCTTCTCGACAGAGCTGCACTTTACATCCATTCACCCCTATCTGATGCTCATTTTTGAGTAACTGTTTGAGAAAATCTGAACTTTCCCCATACTCTTAGTGTTTCTTGGAAAGAAGATGTGCTGAATATTTGTGGCCTTTGGCATCTTCATCTTTGGGGATTTTCAGGACTCAGCTAGGCAAGATTATAATTTTGTTGATCTACTGTTGCCAGTAATCCTGTTCCAAGTGTCAGGGGGGTAGAGACCCAAAGGTCCCTTTCTGCCACCCTTCCCAGGGTTTAGGTGGCATGGTAGGCTGGAAATGAACTATGAGACAACAGATCTCAGCATAAAGTTTGTTCACAATCTCAAAAAAAAACCCCCAAAAACAAACAAACAAACAAACAAAAAAAAAAAAAACAACCAAAAAAAGCAGCAAGCTATCTATCACTTCATTTGCTTAAAACAGATACAGGAAGAAGTCCCGGTACCAGGAGGACTGGGACTAAGGAACTGGATTGCCTGCTACCTCTATGATTCAGCAGTGTGGCATGAAATATCCTCTTTGCCACAGTTTGTGATGGGTGCTAAAGGTTTAGACTTGGAAGAAAAAAATAGAACTGCAAGGTAAGAAAGCACAGGTGGCCTTAAGAGCATGAAAATGCCCACTTGAACAGGTCCCTGCGGGCTGCTGCAGGCAGGAGGGCGACACACGGCTCCTGTTTTCTCTTGGCCATTCTTGGTGGCCTCTTGGAGAGCAGAGGCTGGTGAGAGGGATGCTGTGGTCACACATAACCTGCAGTTAGTGTCCTCTGGCAGCCCCCAGTCATTTGGGGCAGGGTGTTAAACCCACGGTGGCAGCAGGACAGTGCAGCTGATGTGCCTGTGCTGCTGCAGGCGGTCTAGAAGGGCACAAGTGCTTGGACATGTCCCAGCTGCACTTGTGCTGTGTACATGTGAGTCTCCTACCATAAGTACAGGAGCTTGTCTTTCCATCTGAGTAATTGCAGGGACAAAACCAAGCAACACAACACAGGACAATCAAGAGCGCTTCTGAGCAGCTTTTCAGCACGCCGGTCTGGGGTGGCACGGCTGAAAGCCTCTTTCCTAAGGCACCGGGGGGCTCCTGCCTCCTGTGGGACTGGAATGCCCTAGAAATGGTTTGGCACTTGCTTACTGGCTGATTCTGCCAACTTGAACCTGCACAGCAGCAGGGCAGAGATGGACAGAAAGGGAAAGAGCTGATTTTTCTAACGTTTTAGTCTCCCTGACAAAGATTCCTGCAGGGAAGAAGTTGTCAGCACTAAGCTGCAATAGGCTTTTGGTGTAAGTCTGGGTTTGTTGTGTAGAGGGAATTGGTTCCCATTGACAAGCTGTCTTCCTGACCAGGCTCTGAGTGCTGAGCTGTGGCATCACCTCTAATTTTGGTAGACCCTTCTAGGTTGTTTCCATAGAGGCTGAGTTCAAAGGTTCACAGAAGGATGTGGAGGAAGCTCCTCATCTCATCCACTCCCTCACCATCCTGTCAAGCGGCATTCCCACCTCCACACCACTAAGAGATTGCTCTGGGGGGCCTATCTGTCACACACAGCCCATGAATCATTCCTTTCAGTTGTGCTCCTACGTCTGCAATCCCACGTAGTCCCAAAGACAGGATCCAGGCCTCAGGGATTCAATTATTTACACTCCACTCAGTCTTTCCATCCTTGATCCCTCTGTGCCCATTCATTTTGCTCCATCATGTGCTGTTCTCCGCTGTATCAGTCACAGATGGGCAATTTATCCTCTCCTGTTTCCCACACGAATCCCATCTATCACCTGCCTGTCTTTGAAATTAATTTACTGGCTGGCCAGCTGCCCACTGTGTCCGTGGCTGCTTCCCACCCATGTGCAATATGGGGGGTGCTCAGTGAAGGGGGGTGGCTGCAGGTGCTGCAGTGTTCTGTGCCCTAAGGAGCATTGCAGACCTGTGGGCAGTGCTTTGGGACAGGACTGCTGCATGTGCTGTGGGACAGTGGGGAAGGGGCATTCCTGGATCCGCTCGTGCTGTCAGTCACTGTCACAGCACAAAGCAGCAGCCTTGTGCCTGCCAGAGAGATGTGTGTGTATTGCTGCCATGCTCAGGCTTGAACAAGGGCTTTAGGAGTCCCTGGAGCCTTCAGAAAGCTCCTGAAGGCTGTCCTGATGGGCAGAAATAAACATAGTTTTCTTTTTTCTCTCTCCTCCAGAAGTTCTTTCCTGCTGTTGTTTTCAGCTCAGTTAAGCACATCTGTCTACTTGATCTGTCATGGACATGTTTCCAAGTGCTGGCTTTGACTTCTGCTCT